CTGCCCGAGGTTCTCCAGTCCCCCCAAAAGAGACTTAAGTCCATGGTCCTGCTTCTAAATCTGTCTCTGTGTCTCCAGAAAATTCTGTTCTTGATTTCTGAATGTCAAGAACCAATCCAAAGTGATAAGTCTCTGTTTGCACCTTCCTGACTAGGAAATACAAGCTCAGCGTGGGCGGCGTGAAGGCCCTCCCCCTTCTCCACAGCTCTGTAGACAGAGGACAGGGGACTGTGCTGTCACCCAATCCCCAGGCCCCATCCCTCATGTGGACGGTCCTAGCCCATCAGTCCCATGGACACACTGCAGGATCTGAGCCCACAAATCCCCCCTGGGCATTTTGGGGGCAGCACCAGGACTGTCTCACTTGTACCCTTGTAGTCTGCCTTGGCCACCCTGGTGACCGAGGTCCCCTGGAAGGACCCCTCCCAGCATGCGCTCTCCTGTTTGCGCTGACCCGCAAACCCACGGGAGCCCAGTGGTGCCAAGTTCACTCCTGACTGCGCCCACCTCCGTCTCCCCAGAAACGGACAGGCCCTCTTCACCATGTGACATCTGGTGGCTGGGCTTGAGGCCCGGGTTCCACAAAATTCACGAGGCACAACCTCTTTGGGCCTGTCTATACTCTTGACAGGCCAAGGGGCAGGCACCAAATTGTCCTCATCACAAGCTGAGCACAGCGTCCCTCTGCAGACTCCCCCAGGCGTGTCAGCTGGAGCGGGGAGACTGCCTTCTACCCAGCCCCGCCCCCCACCCCCAGCCAGACATAACCAGGACCAGCAGCTGTCCCTAAACTGGCCAGGTGACCAGAGTCTCACCCGCTGGTGACAAAGCACTCCCCATGTGCCAGCACCACGCAAGCACATCGTGTAAAGTCTCGTGCCCATTTTACAGATGGAGACAAGGATTCCAGGGGTAGTCATTGCCTAAGGTCAAAGGCAGGACCTGAACCCAGATCTCCAACGTCACCCTCAACCTCTACAGCAGAGGCTCAAATCGGAGAGTACATGGAAAGCACCCCCCATGAGTCGATCTCCGTAGGCCCCCGGAACCTGCATTTTAATACAAGAATGCAGGAAGCCCTGACAAAAATGGCCAGGGACCAGCCTTGCAGAGTCCCTCCCCTCCCACTCCCTGAGTCTCAGGACCTGTTCTAGGCCCAGCCATGCTCGTCCTCGCTGCATGACCTTGACCCCTCTGAGGTTCCTTCTCTGTGAACATGAGAGGGTTGAGCTAGCCAGCTCCGAGGGGCTCTTCAGCGGGCCTCGAGCCTCCCAACTTGGATCCTACCCCATGTGATGAGGGGAGTGAGGGAGGGCTCCCCTTCTCTGGCTTTCTGCCCCCCAGCAGGCCCGTCTGCCAGGTCAAACAATGATCCCTGTCCCAGATTTTCACCTGCTTCGACAAGCAGTCGGGGACCCAGAAGCCCCCCCCCCCAGACATCTTCCCCCACCAGCTGTCCTGGAGTCTCTGGCAGAGAGGACGGTCCCACTGCTTGACGGCCTTGAAAGAGCAGCTGGGAAGCCTCCTGACTTCCCTTCACACCAGCTCCTTCCTTCGTGAAGGGCAAGGCCGGGGCTACTTCCCATCCTGCGCTCTGCATGCAGCCGGCCCCCGGGGGAGCTGCGAGAGGCAGCTGAGAGTGGACCTCTGGGAAGAGCGCAGTCAGCAGGAGCAGGCCCTGGGCTCTGCTGAGTCAGCGTGGCCTGGGGCTGGCGGGGCTCCCTGCCTCTTCCCTCCACTGATCCCCAAGCCTGCTGTTGCCCTCCATCACCGTCTGCCCGAGCTGGCCCAAAATGGTAGGTGCCTGCTGCCTCGTCTCCCAGGTAAGCCCCAAATTATTGACTCCGCTAGCTCTGAACCCCAACATATATTTAGCATCCTGCCTCACAGGCAACTCAGCCCAGCCCTCCCAGGAGTGAAGGGAGAAGGAAAAAGGGGCACATGGATGTGCCTGCCCCCTCACCCCCACTCCCTGGCTGGGGAGGTGCTGGTGGCACTGCCCTGCTGTCAGTGCGTCTACCGTCCCCAAGGCAACCGGTTCAGCCTCCAGTCCCAGCCCTGTCATCTGCTATGCACTGGAGCTGGGGGCTTGCTGAAGGCCAGGAAGCCAAGGGGACAGTCAGTAGTAGCTGAGAATGTGCCAGAACCTGCTTGTCCTCGTGGCCTGTGCCCATTTGTGGCCACGGAGGTAGCCCTTTGAGAAGGGGTCTCCCTGCACCCAGGTGTGGCGCTTGTTCCCACAGATGCCTGGGGACAGTGAGGCCGTGAGAAGCCAGCAGCTCGGTCCACAGGGCCTCTAACTGCCCCCCGCACAGTCCTGGATACCAGCCTGCAGCACCTTTCCTCAGAGAACTTGGGGGAGTTGCCAAAGGAGCATTGTGTGAGCACACCCAGCCCCCATCTTCTGCCCCAGATGTTGGGGTGGTGCAGGTTTTTTCCTATGCGGTGTTTAGATGATGCACATCAGAAACAACTGGGACCCTTGTTACAAATGCCTATTCCTGGGCCCCGCCTTTTACACGAGGAATCCGGAGGCACAAAACCCTTTGAGAATTATCTGTGTGGCAGCCCAGAGCTGTGACTCTGGTGTCACTTCCCTGAGCCCTCAGTTCCTTGTGCTTATAAGGGGGGGTACAAAGAATGCACACCCCACAGTGTGGTCTTAGGACTCAGTGAGGGGATACAATATGGACAGTGCTCAGCACTCGGTGAAGGGCATCTCCTGGGTTATTACTCAGTAACAGAGTGAAATTGTGGCAAGCGGATGGCGCAGATGGAAGCAGCAGATTTTCCATTTTCTTCCATTTTTTTGCCAGCCGTGTAACCTTCAGTGGAGACAGACACCTCCGAGAGGTAGGGCTGGTTCGTGGGTCAGGGCTCTGTCACTTACTGTGTGAGCTCGAGCATGGGATTTGAGCCCCTGTGAACCTCCGTTTCCATCTCTACAAAATGGGAATGCTAAATTGCCCAGTCACCGACCACGTGGCTGTGATGGCTGAACGATGATACCCTTTAAGGAAAGCCACGTAGTTACATAGACACTGCCCCCACCCTCTTGTAGTCCCCTTGCTCACTGCCCCCACACCTGCTTTGGAAGCAAAATGTATAGAAGGGAGAATGACACGCCAGCCACTGTGTCCTCCTGTCTCAAAATGTGGCCTTCACAGGGACTCCCACAGATCCTGTGACGCCAATGTCACAGCAGCATTATTCACGATGGCCAAAAGGCAGAAACAGCCCATGAGTCTGTAGAGAGGTGAATGGATACACAGAATATGGTCTGTGCAGACAATGGAATATGATGTGGCAATAAAAAAAAAAAGAAGTCCGAACACACGCTACCATGTGGATGAACCTTGAAAACATCACGCTAAGAGAAACAAGCCAGACACAAAAGGTTACATACTCTACGACTCCACTGATAGGAAATGTCCAGAATAGGCAAATCCATAGAGACAGAAAGCAGGTTAGTGGTTTTTAGGGCCAGAGAGAATGGGGGGTTGAGGGGTAATACGTAAAGGGTATATAGGGTTTCTTCTTGTGATAATGAAAATGTTCTAAAATTAACTGTAGTGATGGTTGGCACAACTCTGGGAAAATACTGAAAACTGCTGAATTGTACACTCTAAATAGGAGAGTTACATGGTATGTGAATTATATCTCAGTATAGCCATTACCCCAAAAAAAGACCATCGGAATCACCTGGAGTTCTCATGACAGATGCATTCCTGGGCCTCCTGAGTCAGAACCTCTGGAGAGGGGCCCAGGAATCTGAGTTTAAATTAGAACTCCAGGTGATTTGCATGCACACACAACGTAAAGAACCATCCCTCCAGGAAGACAGACTGGTCAATGCCGTGTCCTTGGCACGGGGGTCTTGCCAGGGGCCACCCAGCCTGTATTAGTCTCCTATCGCTGCTGTAACAAATGACCACAACACAAACATATTATCTCACTGCTCTGGGAGTCAGGAGTCTGAAGTGGGTCTTACTGGGATAAAATCAAGATGTCAGCAGGGCTGGGTTCCTGCTGGGCCCTTGCATTTCCCAGCTCCCAGAGGACATCTGCATTCCCTGGCTTGGGGCCCCTTCCTCCAATTCAAAGCGAGCAATGACCTGTAGCGTCTCTCACATCACGTCATGTCACTCTTGCCTCTGACCCTCCTGCCTTCCTTGTGATGACATTGGGCCCACCCAGATAACCCACGTTCACCTCCCCATCTCACGGTCACCTGATTTGCGACCTTAATTCCCTCTTGCCGTGTAACACCACATATTCACCGGTTCCAGGGATTAGAATGTGCACATCTTTCGGGGCCGTTATGCTGCCTTCCTTAGAGTCAGCTGCTTAATGGTGTAAGATGCCTGTCCCCACATCTCAGACAGTAAAGAAAAGTAACCCACCTACCGGGGCTGTTGCCCTTGTGCCTGAGAAGAGGTCCCCGCAGACCCCTCTACATACTGATCATCACTGTCTCCTTCCACAGCCCACAGCCCTCTGCAAAGCCTGCCCCACGCTCCCTGTAAAGCGACGGCGAAGTTAAAATAGATTTTGGGCTCCTGCCACCTCTTTCTGCTTCTCTGGTAAGTTTTATTTCTCGGACAGCAATGCAGAGTTTGAAGCCCATCCAGGGACAAACTTCCATCTGCCCCCTGCAAGTTCCAGTAATAGGTCAGTATTTATATAAATAATAGAAAACATGCTCAAGCCACCCTCCCCAAAGAGCTCCTGTCTCCTATTTTTAGGCGGTCAGCCCTCCCACCTATAGCCCTGCCCGTCCCTCCGTGGTGGGGCTGAGAAGTAGATGCTGGTGCCTGCGGTGGGAGGGGGCACAGGTATTCTAAAATCCCCTTGCAGAGATCGCTCTCCCAAGACAGAAAAGGGTTTTCTAAGAAGTGGGGGCAGGACTGAGGTTCAAGTGTGAGTTCTGTTTATTTGTCTCACCAGGTGTTGTGGGGAAGAGGGGCTCGAAGAAGGAGGAGAGACAGGCTGGCTGTCCAATCCTTGATCCCATCCTCCCAGGGAGGGAATGACCCTCCGTGGAGGGTGTGCTCTGTGCCGGCCGTTGCATTCGTGCTGAATCTTCTCTATAACGATGGGACTGTGGACAGATTATACAGATGAAACTATCTCCTGCAACACCCCAGGTTAGCTTGAAAGACCAGGGTGCCTCGGGTGAGAAAGGATTCGTTAAAAGAGAACTTTAATTCCAAGTGCAGATGGGGGGCGGTTCTTCTCTGATTCCGTTCACACTGAGACCAGCGAGATCAGCATCAGGAACCCGAGTGAGCTGGAGAGAACTGTCCATGTCAGAGCCGAGACACTGGCATAAGCCACCCCCAGGGTTTCCCTGCCTGGACATAATTCAGGAGAGCATCGCTAATCCTCACTTGTTTGAAGTGGTTTAGGTGTGCTCTTCTTTGAGTCAGAGGCTGAGCCAGATGGCACTTGGAGTCCCCGTAAATTTCTTGGAGCCGGCAAGCTAAAAAATAAAGGAGTCTTGCTGCTCCCAGAAGTTGCCAAGCCTTAGGAATACCCCCAAGCTCGGTGGTTAGAGGGACAGGGGAGGGAGCCAGGTGAATGCTAGGAACTGCCATTTACCCAGCTTCACACCTGCACCCTGATTCTGGTTTACGACCGGACCCGTTCTGAAACACCTTGGTCTTCCCATCCATAAAATGGGCGTGTGTTGGGTGCCTCGCCTCCAGGCTCCCGCAGCAGCCGGCTCCCACTGGTGAGCCCTTTAGTGATGATGGTCTGTTCACGTCTCTTTCCTTCCAGACTCTGGGATCCCTGAGATCAGGGACTGACTCCTCCACTGTCATGTCTGAATTCCTGGCACTACGTGAATGAATGAATGAATGAATGAATGAGTAAATGAACATGAATTATGACAACAGTCTACTGCAGTTGTCTCAGACCTGCTTGGAATAGCAAAGTGTTACACATTCAGGAACTTTGCAAGCCCCAGTTGTTAAATTATTGGTAGCTTAAAACTGACCACAGTGGGAGTATTTATGCCAGGCCAATCGGCAAATGCTACAAATCAGGGCTCCCGTCGCCTTTTTTTCAGAGCCTGGTTATCAGCATGCTGTGGGGAGCACTTACCATGCCAGGCATTGTGTTAAGCACTTTACATTTATGAATCCACAACCACCATTTTTATTGCCTTTCACAGATGGGGAAACTGAGGCCCAGGGAGGCGAAGGCACTCACCCAAGTGTGACTCAGCAGCCTTCCCTGACACGAATGTGGGAGAGGAAGGAAGACCATCCTCGCCGCCGTCTCTGGGCTCAGCTGCCCGTCGTGGCCTCACAGGTACCAGCCATTCTCAACGTGGCTGCTGTTTTTAATCAGCTCCTCTGGGAGGAGAGACGCAGTTGCCTGGTGACTAAAGTGTTTTCTAACCCTCAGGAAATCACGCTGTGCGCCAGGAAGATAAAGATACCACACAGGGTGCCCCTCGTCCAGGGCCCCAGACAACAGATCCCATCAGCCCAGCCAGACCCCATGCAAAGTTCCAGACCTCCTTTGTGACGCCAACAGAGCTAGGGGTGGGATTGAATTAAAACGGTGACGTCCTGGAACAGGCAGCAGCGGGCTTTGTGTGGAGAGAGCCCCACGGTGTGTGTGCATCACTGCCAGAGAAGGGGGGCAAAGCCCAGGCAGGGCCACCCAAACTCACTACATCTGTCTACCCAGTATTTGCCTTTGGGACCACAAGTGGGGACAATCATGGCCTCCCCAAAACTCAGCTTAAGGGATAATAGAGTCCCCAGGGCCCATTCTGGCTTGAACATTCCAGATTTCTGTGGCCCTTGTGGACTCCCCTGCATAGTCACCTCCTGTGGGTGGGTCTCCCCACTCCTCCAGGACTTCCTCAGGAGTGCAAGTGTGGCTCCTGGCTCTTCCTGGGTGAGGCTCCGGGACCCAGCCAGAACCCTGAGCACAGTTGGCCCTTCATAAATGTGCAGGGACTAAATAAATGAACCAACGATAGAACCCACAAATCATGCCTTGGCGTCTCCGCCCTCCTGCTGCCACAGGAGCTCCAGATTGTTTCTCGAAACCCTGCATCAGGAGTAAATCTCCCTGGGTCAGGTCATCACACCCCAGCCCTCCTCTCTTCCAGCTCCCCCGCCGACTGGCTGACTGGCAACGGTGGCTTGTTTGGCAGCAGACCCAGGAGGGCGGATGGGGGCCCTGGGATGGCCGCTGGGAGGAGGTGATATCTAGATTGAGATCTGAAGAGGAAGCTCAGGCCATAGGAAGAGGGAGGGCAGGGAGCCTCAGGCAGATGGAACCGCGTGTCTGGGAGATGACAGCGCCAGTGCGGCTGTACATAATGTTGACCCAGTAGCAGGTGATGGAGTAAAGGTGGGCTCCCCCACCCCATACACTAGGGGGCCTCTCTGTGGTCACCTGAAGGGCAGAGCAAAGCACACCGTCCCAGGGCCTTTATCCCCACCCACCTGCGCTGTCTCTGGCTCTGGGAGCCACCAAGGGGAGGAGATGCAGTCGCCAGAAGGCCGGTTTCTGTTTCCCCAGCCGAAAACCCCATCATTGAATCCTTGAATTATTTAATAAAATTCCAGGAACCGATATTTTAAGGCAGAATAAAATTGTTCCCAGCCGTTGTGGGTAATTCCCAAGGGGCGTGGGGATCCCCTTTCTGACCCCAAGTCCAGTCTGGGTTTCTGGATACCTTCTGACCCAAACTGGGCGGCTGGATTTTCTACCAGGAGGGGGCTGATTCTGCTCAGCTGGCAGGTTTAAGGGGCCTCTTGGTGGCTCTAAAAAGCACCCCTGCCCTGGGAAGGGCCTGTGGTCTGCAGCTATGGGACCCCCTCCCCAGTGAAGGACCCTTGACTCACCCCAGCACTATCCTGAGGTTCACCCCCAGGACACACTGAATACATATGAATCATTTTTTTTTGTTTTTTGTTTTTGTTTTTTAATTAATAGACTTTATTTTTAGAGCAATTTTCGATTTACAGAAAAATTGAGTAGAACGTATAGAGAGCTCCCATCTGCCCTTCCTCTTAGTTTCCCCTAATATATGAATCATTGACAGCTGTTGTCACCAAGCACCACGGAGCCTGGCCTTGGCAGCTGGAAAGTCTTGACTTTTGAGTTTCTGCTCTCAATGTGTGACCTGTCTGAAAATCAGTTCCTCACTTGCAAAGTGGACATGATTGCACAGAGACCACCTTGGGCTGTGTCCCGTGCCACGCCCTTCCGATGGACATCTCATTAACTTTATTATCCTCATTTTCAAGAGAAGGAATCCCGGTCAGACAGGTGGCAGGAGTGGCCCCAGCCTCCCAGCCTGGCTACAGAGCTCTATCCCTTCAGCCAGTTTAACACAGAACTTCTTTCATTGACTTGGGGCCCACCAGCGTGGCTTCTGACAGTTTGCCTGAAATGCAGCTTCCTGGGCCCTGTCTGAGTCAGAATCAGGGGGTGGGCTGTGGGGGTGGGGGGAGGGCGTGGAGGAGCTCTCTGCTCCTAAAGTTTGAGAATTCCCCCTCCCAAGCTCCTGTGCTACGTGCTAGGATGGGCGGGTCCGCACATGGGTGTGTCCACCTCATCAGGGTGCTGGGAGGGGGAGGGGGGTTCCGTGCAATAAAGCCAAGCAAAGTGCCTGGTGCAGAATCCAGGTGGATTACTGTTGTTAATGACCTTCACTGCTCACCATAGAGCTAATTTACTGCTCGTTGTCCTCCTGCGTTGTCCCAGGGGAATTCCCGTCCTGCGAGCTGGGAGGATGTGTGATGGAACCGAGGTGGGATGGGCACGGAAACCTCCCAGGGGTCTGACCCCTCTCCTCCGCTCACACCCCAACTCTATACTTCCACCTGCTTCTTTCCAGAGCCGACAGGAGTGCGGAAGGGGCGAGGCGCGACAAGCACGTCTGCCGCTGCAGGAACTGAGAAACCTTGGAGGTGGGCTTCTTGGGCCCCCTCCTTCTCGACCCCCTCCCCGCCGTTTCCGGCCCCGGGGCGGGGCTTTCCCCACTCCCCACTCCCCGTTCCCCGTTCCCCGTTCCCCGCTCCCCGCAGTGCTGGAAGCCGGTGCGCGCTAGGACCGCGGCGCGCCGCCCTCCGCTGCTATAAGAGGCCGTGCTTCGGCCCCACGCGGAACCCGCGGCTCAGTCCCGTCCTCGGCGTCCCACTCGCGTTGGACCCGAGGCAGAACCGGCCGATACGCAGGCGACGGCAGCCCAGGGCCTGCGAGGGACGTGCGCCCAGGAGCCCCCGCTGCGGGCACCATGGGCGCTGCCCACTCCGCGTCCGAGGAGGTGCGGGAGCTCGTGGGCAAGACCGGCTGTGAGTATTCCTCGGGGGACGGACGCGGGGACACGGGCGGGTACCGCTCGCCGGCTGGTGCGGGGGCTCCCAGCCCACTGCCGCCCGCCCGGCTTCGCTCCGCCGTGCTGTGTGACCTTGGGCTAGTAGCTGGCCCTCTCTGCGCCTCAGTCTCCCCTTCCTTCAAATGGGTGCCTGTCGACCACTTTGCAGGCTGTGGTGAGGAGTGCCTTGGCACTCTCGGAATTGGCTGGGAACCCCCGGGCCTGAGGACTGCGGACCCGGGAGCGTGCAGGGCCCGAGCTTCCTCAGGGCAGGCGCCGCGGGACGCCCAGCTGGTGCGCGTCCCGCAGCTGAAAGCTGTTTGGATTCACAGTGCGCAGGGGGTGGAAAGTTTTGAAGTCGGCGGGAGATGGGTGGGAGCCGGGCTCTGGCTACGTCCTCCCATCTGTAAAACGGGTTCAGGTGGATCCACCTCCTTTAGTAGCTGGGAGGTCTAAGCGAGGCAGTGCCTGCAGGGCACTTGGCAGGAGCCGGGCGACCTTCCTGGAGCTCGCCGGGACTCCCCGGACCCGCAGAGGCGGGGCGCACGGGGAGGCGGGGAGGCCGCACCGCGAGGCAGAGCTGACCGCAGGGACGCGTCTGGCGGAAGCGCCTGTCAGCCCAAGCGGGGAACTTGACCCTGGGCCCTGACCTCCGGGGGCCAGGCTCCGCCACCGGCTGTGAAAAGGAGTGTGGGCTGAAGACTGCGGGAGGCCAGGTGAGGGCAAACTGGCTTTGGAGATGGACGGCCAGGGTGTGAACACCACTTCCTTCCTGGCTGTGTGACCTTGGACTAGTCACTTTACCTCTCGGTTTCCTTCTCTTTGGAATGGGAGCTCTGTTAGTACCTGGTAGATGTTAAAAAAACAAAACAAAACAACAAACAAAAACGGGAGCTGCAGATGTTATTTCTAAGTAGGCGCCGGCTTCTGACAGCTGCTTTGAGCTTAGTGCAATCAGCATCTTGTAGTCAGTCAGGGGAAGAAACCAGCCATTTGTGCGCTGGCTGAAAGACGACTCCTGATCCCCAGTCTGAACACCCCTTTCCGGGAGAATTGGATGGAAATTACAGAAAGCTCTTTTAACAAATGGAGTGTGTGTGTGTGTGTGTGTGTGTGTGTGTGTGTACGCCTGCATGCACTTACGTATGTGTATGTCTTCCTGTGTACAAAATACAGAATTATCTGCAAATGGAGTGAGGAATGGTGTGGTACATTATATATAATGTGGAACCTTTTTTGTTTAAAAAAGAGGGGAATAAGAATATATATTTCTAATTGCTTTATTAGCATGAATGACTCTGGAAGTACCCACAGGCGGTAACAATAAGGAATACTTAGGGATTTGGTGGAAGGGATTGAAAGGGAAGCGAACTTTTCACTGTAAACTTTGTTATATTTTCATTTTGAATCATGTGTGAATATTTTACTTCTTCAGAAAGTTTTATAAGGTCCAGTTCAAACCCCAGGCTCATGTAAGAGAGGAGGTAGGATGCCTTTTGCCCTGACTTTCTTGGGTTTCCCCCATTTTTATTATTTCTTGAGTGCCCTCTCTTTGCCTCTGACTGCCTCTGGAGGTTCTCTATAGCTGGGATCTCCCCCACCTCCTGGGAAGGGGCTGCTGGCCGCTGGCCCCCATCTCTCAGGCTGCCCCAAGGGCAGGCAGGCAGTCTGGGGGAATTCCGGCTGGCTGTGGGTTTGACAGGTGATGGGGCCGCAGAGCATGCTGGGAATCTTGTCAGTTTCCTGGGTCCGGTCTTGCCCGGAGGTGACATGTTCTGTAGCTTTCCTAGATGTGGCTGACGTGGTGTCTTTTCTTGCTGGCCAGAACTCAAATTTCACTTTCCAAAGGAGGAAGGGAGACAGAAGGGTTCTGAGGTCTGAGGGGAGGATGAAAGCTTTCAGTTTTCTGTTCTGTAAGTAGGTGGGAAGTTCCCTCTAGTGCTCTGAAAGGGGCTGGCACAGTCTGGGCACTTTTACCTGTTCAGCAAGTATTTATCTACCAGGGACTGGGGATTTAGAGGTGACCCAGAAAGGCTGATGTTCCCAAGGGGAGACGCACAGTGTAATCAAATCAACCCACCGGTATTAAGCTCTGTGAACAAGACAGGGATGTGAGGTCAGGGGGAGGGGCAGGGAAACATTTCTTTAGAAAGGGGCCAGGAGGGCCTCTCTGAGGAGAAGATAATGGGACAGAAACCCAAATGAGGAGCCAGCCACATGAAGATCAGTGGAAGGTGCATTTTGAGCAGAGGGAACAGCAAGTGCAAAGGTCCTGTGGCAGGAAGAAGCTGAGGACAATAAACAAGAACTGTATGAGATGAGGACACAGCCATAGTTGGGGCTCAGGTTTTGGCAGGAGCCTGATTGAAGGGGTCTTTCTAGGTATGTGGCTTTGGGCAAGTGTTTAGTTTTATTGGCTATGCTTTAAACACATTTATATGTCCTGGTCACTCTGAGCCACTGCTGAGAGTTAAATCTTGGTCTTACTTCTTCCCAGCTGCGTGACCTTAAGCGGGTCATTCTACCTCTGTGAGCATCAGTGCCCCCATCTGGATCCTAGGTTGCTGGGCTCCCCCAGCCTCTCTGAGCGCCAGGATGGCCCACGATTTGAAGGGTCAGCTTGTTCCCTTCCTGAGGACTCCACCTGGAAAAGATAAGAAGGGTGAGCGTAGGATGGTGATGGTCGACATCATTGCTTGAGGACCAAAACGCTGAGCACTTCGCATGCACTCTGGTGGAATCTTCATGATAATCTTCCAGGGAAAGTGGCAATATGGTGGTTGTACAGATAAGGAAACGGAGGCTCAGAGAGGTAAAGCAACTTGCCTGGAGCCCCACAGCTCATAGGTGAAGGATTGGGGATCACAGGATCCCTGACACCACTGTGCTTTCACTGTGTTTAGTTGCCTGTCAGATTTCTAGGAATGCAGAAGGGGTGGGAGAAGCCTGCCCAAATGTTTTTCTCGCCTGCAGGCCTTTGCACGAGCCGTTCCCTCCGCCTGGAGCACTCTCTTCATTTTACCATGCACAACTGGGTGTTTATATACGGGAATGCCTCTGCAACCACCACCCAGGTTAAGGTGGTAAACGTTTCGTCTTAGCTCTGTATCTTTACGAAGTTCACGCCCTTTATCCTTCAGGACTCAGCATAGCTGCTGCTGTTCCCTTCCAGGAAGCCATCCTTGCCTCCTCTCCATCCAACCTTTGTGGGATAAATGCCTGTCCTTGGGGATCCCGCAGCCCCCTCAGTCCCTCCCGTAACAGCACACATCACACCTTGTTATAATTGTCGGCTCGGTCACCTGTCACCCCCTCAAAACTTGGAGCTTCCTGAGATGGGGATGAATGTGTCTTGTCACCTTTGTACATAGCGTGGGGTCCTCAGTGAGAACACAAGAGGTTCATATTAAAGGGGTGACAACCCTGGGGACTTTATAACCCAAGGAGTATTGCCCTGGAGCATGTGTCCAGTAGAAACTCTAGTGCCCCCCGCCGCCAACCAGCCGGCCTTGGCCATGCTGACCCTCCCGGCATCTCTGGTTGCCTCCTCATGCTATGTATCCCGTTGGCTTCAGCACTGAGCCATCGCCACCAAAAATAGGCCTGAGTACTGGCTCACCCACCTCCCTTGCTTGATAGAGTCTCATTGATTGATTTAAAACATAAACAAGTATTCCCAAACATCTCCTCTGAGCCAAGAAAGCTGACTCCCTCGATTATTAAAATTCATATGACAAACCCAAGCAAAAGCATCCTGGTTGTGTGTTTTGAGTGGTGAGCTGACCTTTCTGACGCTCCCTCCGGGCAGGAACATGGAGTCAGGCCCAGTGTGTGTCCCCCGGAGGTGTGCTGTGGGCCCTGCACAGGAAGTGGCTCCCGAGGGACCGCTCACCCACGTCTGTTCCCCTTCGCCACCTTGAGCTGGCCCTACTTCCCATCCCCGCTAATCTGTGCCTGCTCCTGAACTTGGAAAGGAAATCGTTAGGAGGATTCTGGGAAAGGTGGAGGGTCTATTTGTTTCCTTCAGGCTGCAAAACATCTCCACAGGCATGTCTATGTAGGTGCCAAGAAGCTTCCAGAGGAAGAAGGAAAAGCAATCTCCCAGACCTGGAGTTCAGACCTCGTAATGGTGATAGCGAGTGCTTGTCATCTGCCAAGGACCGAGCTGTGCAGTTGATCCACAGTCGCTTATGGACTCTGCCGGGAACACTGGCTGTCCCACTTTATAGAGGAGGAAATTGAGGCTCAAGAGATGATGTGACTTGCCCAAGTCACAGGCTGCTGAGAAGTAGAGTCACTTTCTGGTCTATCCCCCAGACCTCACCATTCGCGAATGGAACCAGAGATGCGGGGGCCTGTGAGGCCTGGCTGGCTGGTGGGCGTGCACCGTTTTCCCCTGGATTCTCGCCGCTGGCAGTACTCCTGGGTTATAAAGTGTTCACGTGCCCCGGACCAAGGCTTCACCCCATTTGCCATGTGCAACATGTCTACTGTGCTCTAAGCACTGGACACCCCAGTGGACAGATGCCTCCCCCTGCCGTCCAAGTGCTCGGGGACCCCAGGGGTAAGGATAGGCTGACGGGTGCCACTGTG